ACAGTAAAGATTTCTGCACACTTCTGCACATAGGTGAGTTATTTCTCAATAAAAAAGTTTTTAAAAATTGAAGACAAAAAAATGACAGAAAAACAAACTGGATTAGGCATATGAATTAGATATTAGCCTACAATATACTTGAGTACTTGACCCCAGAACTAGATAACAAAACAGAGAACCAAACCAAAATCTTTGAGTCAAGTGCCCAGTTTATTTTTCTCAACCCAACAATAAGGTGAATCACTCCTCTTCCCATAAGGTAAGAACAGAGGCCCAAGGTGTTATTCAGTTCACAAGGAAATACAAGGTGAGGGGAAAAGAGAGTGTGCTCCCAGCCGTAACTTATCTTCTCTGCACATGTCTTCTCCTTTGCAGAATGGTGATAATAGAACCTATCTCAAATGGTGTATGAGGTTTGGGAAAGATAATCTATGTGAATGGCTTTGCCAAGTAGTAAATGTGAAATTGAAGGAGCAAAGCATGGACTTTAGAGGGAAAAGAAATCTTCAGGAAGATAATTGGATCTGTCTGTGTTATTTTATAGATTAGAAAACCGAGGTCCATGGAAGTCAAGACCCTTGTCCAAGATTCTTGCTCGAAATACATTGTTGATAATATAGCATCACTGTAGTTTGCAGAATGGTGATAATAGAACCTATCTCAAATGGTGTATGAGGTTTGGGAAAGATAATCTATGCGAATGGCTTTGCCAAGTAGTAAATGTGAAATTGGAGGAGCAAAGCATGGACTTTAGAGGGAAAAGAAATCTTCAGGAAGATAATTGGATCTTTCTGTGTTATTTTATAGATTAGAAAACCGAGGTCCATGGAGGTCAAGACCCTTGTCCAAGATTCTTGCTCGAAATACATTGTTGATAATATAGCATCACTGTATGTAGATCCCAGTTGCTCATGTGCCTAGTCCAGAGTTCTTTCTGCTATATCACTCTGCTGAATAACCATCCTAAACAGTGGAGGATGGAATTGCCAATCCTTCTCCGAACCACCACGAATTTCCTGTTCTCAGAAGACACATTGTCTGTTCCTAGCCCCATGGAGGCCCTGTGTGCTGCTGCACTCAGGTAGCAATTTATAGCCCTTGTTGTTCTTTTCCAATAAGAACAAGATTGCTATTTAGAATCAAGGTAGCTATTTTCACAATCCACTTTGAGGCAGTTCCGCAGGTATTCTTTTGAAGGTAAACAAACACAGTCGACTACAATTATTTGTTTCTCTTTAGTATATCACAAAAGGTAATGATTTAATGCTACCCTAGTGGCCTGTAATAGCTATTGCACCACAGAAATGAATCATAAAATCCCCGTCCCACTAATAGCTCTAGAACTAGTGTTATGAAAAGGCTTTTAACTCCAGGGAATCAGTGTTTTTACCTTCCCACCAAGTGACAATGTTATTAGTTTTTAATACTCTATTCACTGGTTATGAAAATATAGACTCTTTGGGGGACAGAGAAGCCTGTGAGAAGATTTTGTTTGTTAGATGATGGATCCCAGCAACATTTTCTAGGACACTTACTATGACAAAGAAAATGGTCCTGTAAAGGCCACATGCTTTTCTAACTCTGCATCATTCCTAAATGCTAGTTCACTAGATTGGAGCCATCAGGGCTGACTGAAGGGTAGCTGAAGAGAGAGTTCTCTCTGATAGTAGCATCCCCACTCCTTTGCAGAGCCAGTGGGCTGCCAGGCTAGGGAAGTGCACGTGCTCACTTAGGATTGACACAAATACACAGGCTCTTTGTGTTTATTTTGGAAAGGAGTGCCAGCTATTGTGTTGCAAATATTCCCTGGAAACTCGTCTAGCCTCCTGGCTCTGTATGTGACAAATACTGACAGAATGGGCTTTTGTCCTAGTGTGCTCCTGATAGATTGGTGCCAGTACCTCTAGACTGAGAGACAGCTGTGCAAAATTGCCAGGGAGAAGCCCCAACTAGCCTTGGCAATGATGCTGGTGCATAGCAGGATGCTGTGTCCTCTATCACCAGGGAGGTGCCTCCTCTATAGATTTCTATGTCTGCACCTGCACTGCCACCAAGTGTAACAGAAAGAACAAGGACCAAGGACCAAGGACTTATTTGGATCCAACTTATACCCTGCTTTCACTTATAAATGATGCAACCTGTAAAACGGTGAGACTAATGTCTATTTGACCAAAAAATGGTGAGCATTAAAGGTCATTTATTGAGTATTGTATATAATAAGTACTCAAAAAATGGTAGCTATTATTATTATTGTGTATATTTCCTGCTAATATTAGATAAATGTCAAATTAGTTAAAACTGAAGAGAATATTCTACTGATTGCTTATTATATAATATATATACATGTATATGCACGAAGGTACTTCAAAAAGTTCATGGAAATACTGCTATTATCTTTTAATACTATTTTTCTATGAACTTTTTGATGTGCATATTTATGTGTGTATGTATATATACACATACACACACGTAGCTATTTCCCATAATAACATCAGTAGTAGATCGACACAATTTTAGAGGGCACTTGGCTGAAGAGACATGTTGCAGTTTTCCCAGGCTGCCTTGTTTATATCTGTGTTCTAGAATAATTATTACTTGCCACACTTTCACTCACTTTCACCCTGAAAAGTGACTTGGTTTGGATCACCCTAAATAAGGATCAAAAGGAAGACATCGATCTCACAGAAATTCAAGAATGGTTATTGTCTCAGTACTGATAAATGAGGTATCCACTAGACAACCACTGGCTTAAGAAATTTTCACTGCGGACAACAACATAATTTTTCATTTATATAAAATAAATATTAAGTAGTAGTTATCAAAACAAGAACAGCAAACTCAATGGCCGTAAGGCTTGTCCCTAACAGAGAAGTTGTCATTTGGTAAAGAACGTTAGTGTTTAATCTCATATTTCCCTACAGTTTGGTCCTGGGTTGACTGTAATAGCTGCAACTTCAGATGGATGGACCCTTTAAGTGGCTGCTGCATTGAAAGTTATTTTGACACTTAATTTTTGTCTTTTTTCCTTTCTTTTTAAAAATCCTGCTCATTTATTTGCTTCTGGTGGCTTTAATATTTAGCTCCAGCATTTGGGGGTTAGTGGCAGCCTATAAGGGCTTGTTTAAAACATCACAGTGATGGCACTAATTTACCTCTTTTATTATCCTAGTAAGTTTGGAGAAGGGCCAAAAAACTAACATTAAGGGCCAGAGAGTCTAGGTGACAGACATGTCACCCTGTTTCAATGACTTTGCAATTTTTGCAAGGAGGATCTTTGCTTTTTTCTTATGTAACTTTCTATACTTATTCGGTGAGTTTTGATTTTAAAATGCACTTTCTGACTTTCTTACTCCTCATGTCCTCTTAGAGAATTTCCTTTCAATTTGGAAATTATTACTTTAGCAAATTACACTTTTAACAGTGTCCTATTAAGCAAAGCAGTAAGATAGGTTAAAATCTAATCTTTTCCCTCTTCAACCTAGGTGGGGTATTTTGTATCTCACTCTTAGGACAGATACACATATATCTTTTTTACATTTTCAACTACATCTAAATAGATCAGCCTTTAAACAGAACTCTCTAAAAATTTCTTTATTTGTGCCAAGCTCAACATCAAAGTCAAAACTCTTTATCATTTTTTCTAAATACTACAAACTCTCTAATTTCCTAAATACCTTCTTCTATTCTTTAGCCCAGGAACCTTATCGTCTAGTGGCCTATTTAGACTGGAGAAAGGAGGGCAGCCTGCAGGGAGTGTGAGGAGCCTCATGTCGGTTTCAACCCCATGAGCTGCTGAACTTGCCAACTTTCCCAACATCTAGTACTTTGAGCACACAACACATACACCCCTCACTGTCAGTCAAGTGAGGCAGGGAAAGCCACTGCAGAAAGAAGCAAATTTCTGGAACTAAGTACAAAGTTTCTGTATGATGCCAGTGGTGTGCTCCAAATCTACTTGGTTTTCCAGGCCTGTTTTCATTTCAGCAAATCCATATGGTCCCCAAATTTCTCACCCATGTATAAATCCTAAAGTTTAGACTTTCAATATGGAGTTTATATTTGACACAATACTGTTCTTATGAAACTGCTTAGCAGTTGTGGAACTTTTAATCACCTGTGACATGGAATGATTGCAGGGTTTTTCAAATTCACAGGCAAAAACTAAAGGCTAAAATTAATGAGTGGTATGACGCTTCCATCAAGAAACATTTTACCTGAATTTCTAATCATTAGTAAATCTGATTTAAGTACTTCTGCACTGCCAACTATATATAAGAAGAGTTTCATACTATCTAGTTCTAATTCTTGTTTTTTGTGGTCCTAGAGATAATGATTGCAGGGTTTTTCAAATTCACAGGCAAAAACTAAAGGCTAAAATTAATGAGTGGTATGACGCTTCCATCAAGAAACATTTTACCCGAATTTCTAATCATTAGTAAATCTGATTTAAGTACTTCTGCACTGCCAACTGTATATAAGAAGAGTTTCATACTATCTAGTTCTAATTCTTGTTTTTTGTGGTCCTAGAGATAATAAAAATAGTGGAATAACCAAATGAAAATACGAGGGATTAGATAATGCACAAACTGAATCACCATGAATTGTGGATTGTTATAGAGGATACAAAAAATGTTTCCAGTACTGTGATATAGGGAGACTTTTAATATAATTTCCTGCAAACCAAGAGAGAACAAGAGTTATTTCCATTGCTCCTTAAGGATTTCTTTACAATATTTGAAAGTTCTTTCTTTCACCTGTATGGAGTTTCTTTTATATCTCATAACACCATTATTGAATAGAGAAAATGAAACAGAATAAACTATTTGCAGAGAGAATAGACTAAAGCTAGTCACAAGTACAAAGCTTAAACAGGTGGACTTGGTTCAATGTCATTGTTCTTTCCCTTCCTCTGAGAGCCCTGAAAAGCTTTTGCAAATTACACCTGCAGGCCAAGTTTTCTGTATTGTGACATCAGTAATGGTCTGTTTTTATTGTTACAGGCAATGAAAGCTTAGAAGAAAACTATGTCCAAGACAGTAAGATGGGGTTTGTCATCAATGCCATCTATGCCATGGCCCACGGGCTGCAGAATATGCACCATGCCCTCTGCCCTGGCCACGTGGGCCTCTGTGATGCCATGAAGCCCATTGATGGCAGCAAGCTCCTGGACTTCCTTATCAAGTCCTCATTCATCGGTGTGTCTGGAGAAGAAGTGTGGTTTGATGAGAAAGGGGATGCTCCTGGAAGGTAAAGCAGTCTTTTCAGTAAAGGATCCGAATAACCTTGTAAGCCTTCCTGAGCCAGACAGATGGCCACTATGGCTCAATTTACTTCCATGGTTTCTGGGTGTCATAAGGATAGATACAAGTAAATAGCAAATAGACAGGGCTAATATCAGGTGGAAATCACCAAAGATCATACTGCCCTTTAAAAATATGGTAATACTTCTTAGTGAACACGCAGAACCCTGCATTTTGCCAGTACCACCCCTCTATCCAGCCATCACTGGCCCTTCCACTGGAATTCTTGGGACCTCCATGCAGGCCCAAGAAGCTAAAGAGTTTTCACCTGGCCAGCAGGACCCTCCCAGGCACTGCCAGTATAAGGCCAGCATCTTTCTGATTGCTCGATCACACTGCTCTTTTGGTCATGAAATATTCTGAATATTATGCCTGCTTAAAGAACTTCATATGTGAAGAAAATCAAATCCTACACATGTATCCTTTTTCTCCCCCTCAGGTTAACTTATGTTTCTACTCACATGTATCTTGGAGTAAGAAAGGAAAGGATTTTCTTTCTGTGATTGAATCCCTACAGCTTTCAAAAAATCAATCAAACAAAAAGCGAAGGAAAACTAAACCAATATATATATAAATACACACACACATATATATGTATATATACATATATAATCCCCCCGACTCATTTTGTACAAGTCTGTTCTGCAATACTTGTTTTGATACCACCAGCTAGCACATACGTAATCAGTACATGGAGAAGGATATCAGTCTCAAGAGCAGTTGTGTTTATTCACACAAATTTTCCTTGGACAAGGATAAGCAGAGTGGCAGGAGAATTAAAATCTGCAACAGGACGGTGAAAGGTCCTCAGCTTGGCTGCTGTTCAGTATGCCCACAGTCTTATAGGCTCTGTTATCTTTCAATTATTTTGCAGAGTGAGAGCTCTTTAGGAAAGCATATGTTGTGTTAAAATGGAACACCAAATCATTTAATCCTATCTGCTGTGGGTATATTATTATCTGTCTTTTACAGATAATAAAACTGAGTGCCAGAGAAACTAAGAAAGTCACCTGAAGTCACATGGAGGGCAAGTGGTGGAGGCAGTGGAGTCTGCTGCTGAGGCTTGTAATCTTTTCCACATTACGCTGCCTTTTAGTTAACCCTAAAATTGGTTAAAGTTAGGCAAACTTGCTGGTACCCTCTTAATGTCATTTCAGAAGTACTGTAAGAGAGTGTTTGACCCTAATAATTCTCCACGTTTCTCTTCTTTTTATGTAAGCTTAAAGTTCAACATTTAGGGAGTTCCTTGTGGGTTAAGTGGGTTCTCCCTGTTAAAATCCAACAGCTCTAGGAAGGGTAAATGATATGTCCTTGTCAACAATTAAAGCGACAAATTTATCAGATTCTTTCCAAGTTGCCAGTTAGGTAGGAGTGGATTTTGATTGGAATGTGAATGGGATGCATGGAATGATCTAGGATTTGGGCATGTGGAAAGTTTCCAGGTTCTGAGCACCTTAGCGAGGAGGAACCAGTGGGTCTGAGATTCAGAACGTTGACCACCCATCCCTTTAAACCCCCTGTTGTAATTCTGTGCTCCACTGAAAACTAGGCTCAGTAAAGGGTCAGATTTAAAATGCAAACCTTCCTTCATGATTCTAAAAGACAACACACACAACGTGCCTAGCACAGGACCAGCTACATTTTTGACACACCGTAAATTTCAGTTTCTTCCTCTTCTCTCTGTAGGTTATCCAAAATCCAGGCCCACAATTTTAGCTTGTTCCTCCTCCATGTTTAATTACATCTTCAAATCATGAGCTTTCTCCTGGGTCCTTTTACAGGGATCATTTCCTCCTGCTTGAAACTGGTCAGCTTAAACTGTGTTTAATTCCTGCTGCAACCGCCTCCCTCTGCCTCCATCTCCTGTCATACCATCGTTCATGCTTTTGGTCCCTCTTATAATTATTGCGGTTAATTATCACACAACATAAACTGAATGTATTGAGAGGATGCTGTAAAGATGTAATTTATAGCATGATGATGTTCCCAATACAGGCCAACATACCAGGAAGGGACCCTGAGGTCAAGAGAAAGGAGAGTGCTCATGAACACACATGGTATAGGGAAAGTCTCTTTTTAGCAAGTCAGTATTTTTCCCTTGGTATCTTTCAGTGTTTCTTTTTTTCCCTCCAGCTTTTGGGACTTCTGAAAAATGTGTTTTCATATCAAAATATTATGAAATTTTCAGTTTCTAAATGCTAATGAAGTGTGAACCGATGAAAGAGCAAATGAGGAAGTTGAAATAAAAGTCTTAGGATTTATAGGAAAGAAGATATTCTAAAGGTAGCCTTGCAGCAAAGCCTTCATTGAAAGTATGTAAGGAGCTGTGATAATGTAACATGGAGTAAAACACAAATATTAATGGAGACAAAAAAGAAAACCACTCGTATCAAACACTCACAATAGGTTCTATAGCCATAATATGTTTAGAATGGAAAGATATTGAAGGTTTAAATTAGTGTCATCAATCAGTAAGATGATTGTGACCCTTCAGACCATGGTTAATACCTACTTGGATGTCTCTCAGAGAGATACTCTGAAGAAGGTTCTGGCATGTCTCAGAAACATGGGGGACAATAACTCTCTATTAGCCAAAAGTCAGAAGAGCAAAGAGATGAATCATGTGCTCCAGGTACACCATGCTGTCTTCTCACTTCGGGTAAGTTTTGCTCACCTGTCGGGGAAAACTTCCTTTATTCTTCCAGAGTCCCTTTCTGTTATGGAGATAGCTATGTGTAAAAATTGCCAGAATATGGATGAGGAGAAGCCAGTAGCTACCCAGTGGGTGACAGGATGTGTTTACACATTAAGAACAGGCAGAAAAGCCAACAAGCTGATATTCGTTGTTTAGATAAAGAACTGAGCCAGATTCAACCAATAGATTTCAGACGCCAACTCAGGTTGATTGGGCGTAACTTCCTGGCGTGCTGGGCTGAGAAGGATTATGAATCTGTCAGGTTTAGAGAGAGAGAATTTGCCGATGAAGTAGGTAGAGTCATAGAGGAGGGGAGAGGAAGAAAGGGAGCCGAGGGAAAGGAACACGTGTTGGTTAATTGCCATCTACTTCCTTGAGTCAAGCACAAAAAGCAAAAGGCCATGACTCATATTCTAGCCCAGAAGAGTGGGGACTCTCTGCATTGAGTCTGCATAGATACTGCAGAAAGGGGGAGCCAGGCATATAGTTTCTGAAAACTGCCACAAGAGTTTGCTTGAAGTCAATAGCAATGTGGAAAGAAGATTTAGGAATGCCAAAGAATTTTGAATAATGGAGAAATAAATGGCTGTGCCAACACAAAGATGTTCTACAGTTTTCTTATAATCATGGAAATAACCATAGTATTTTAGGGAATTAATAGTGATACAAATATGAAGAATATTGTGACATTGCCCTACATATTTTCTTGATCCCTTTGGGCTGCTATAACAAAATGCCATAAATTATGTGGCTTATAAACAGCAGAAATTGATTGCTCAAAGACCTGGAGCTGGGAAGTCCAAGACCAAAATGCCAGCAGATTTGGTGTCTGGTGAGGGCTTTCTGTTTCGTAGATGGCACCTTCTAACTGTGTTCTCATGTGGTGGAAAGGGAAAGGTAGCTTTTCTGGGCTGCTTTTATAAAGACACTAATCCCATTCATGAGGATACCATCCTCATGACCTAATCATTTCCAAAAGGCCCCACCTCCTAATACTAGCAGCTTAAGGGTTAGAATTTCAACATACAAATTTTGGGAGGACACAAACATTCAGACCATAGGGCATACACATTTTTTCCTAATTGTAGAGTAGTTTTTTATATGCCTGATGTTAATAAATCTCCACAAGATCCCCATGAGGCTTAAGGAGTTTAGTGACATTCCTAAGTAGTATAATCTAGTATTAAAATGTTAGAAAAGAGTCCAGTTCACACATTCTGATGTCAAGTCTGTATTCTTTCTATTGTATTGTAAAATGTCTTCCACTGCCTGCCCTGGAAAAAGATGAGGTCTGGCCTCCAGAATACACTCTGATTATTGTGAAGATTTTTTAAAAATACCATATGATTAAAATTATAATTTTTTATAATTACGTACATATATATGGTATATGACATGATGTTTTGACATACACATATATAGTGAAATGATTACTACAGTGAAGAGTTCTAAATGCAGATTTTGCTGTTATATAGCACTTTGACATTTGAAATTACTGAAATAACTGACACCAATTGTTTGGTTTCAAAAATGTTTGTTCTAATAGGGAAGAGAACAGTTTAAATGTCAGTACACAAGACATTAAATCCCTTGCAACATCCTTACTAATTAAAGATGCCTTTCTCAGATTTCTTGCTCTACTAGCACCTAAAAAAGTTTTCAGACTTGGTAAAACTCACCTCTTTTAATGTAGTGTAATGAAAATGGCAACACATGTGAAAACAAATTTGGAATAAAAGTAATCAAATAAAGAAATTAATGTTTTTGTAGATTGTTACTTCTCAAATAATAACTTAGTAAATAATAATTTGAAGGAGATGATCAACTCAGTACATGTAAATTTATTTATTTATTTTTGGATGATAGGCAGAGAGAAAAGTACAACAGTAAGATATTCTTTAGCAAATATGGATGATACATAGAGACTGAAAAATGGAATACACATTCTGGAAAATCAGAGGAAACATTAGAAATAAAATATAGGCAGTACCTGGTGTTAGGATGGGGCATTACTCTAGCTTTTATATCCTTCCTTTCTAGTAGTATCTATTTACCAAATTTCTTTCTTTTCTACATTATGTTCATATTCTACAAGACACACATGTTGTTTTCTCCCTAGGTATGATATCATGAATCTGCAGTACACTGAAGCTAATCGCTATGACTACGTGCATGTTGGAACCTGGCATGAAGGGGTACTGAACATTGATGATTACAAAATCCAGATGAACAAGAGTGGAATGGTACGGTCTGTGTGCAGTGAGCCTTGCTTAAAGGGTCAGATTAAGGTAAGCCACAAACACCTTCATAAACGGTATTCACAAGGACGTCTACTGCCTGAGCATTATTAAAGAAAAACACAGACGTTTTTCTTGAAGACTGTTCAGAAATGGTGTGTCAGGCTTACTGTTTTTGCACTTATGCTTAGCCAAATCTGAAAAGACAAAGAAAGATTAGGAAATGGAATAGGTAAATTATTAGACTGTTTGGAATAGTCTTCATTTAAATCAAAATGATGGGCTGGCATCTTAAATACAATATAGGCAGCAAGGGGATGAATAATCGAGTTAAAAATTGAAACAGAAGTAAATGTGGGAACCAAAACCAACAACACAGCTTAGTCATAGTTCTAGCTATTGTTAAAGAAAGTTCTGGGGATCTAATGTACAGCATGGGGGGTGTTGGATGTTAATCAATTTGATTGTGGTATTCATTACACAGTGCATACATGTATCAAATCATCATGTTGTCCTTGAATATATACAAATCTTATTTGCCAATTAAATATTTTAAAATAAAAACATTGAAACAGAAGTAAATGTGGAAGCCAAAACCAATAATACTGCTTAGTCATAATTGCAGCTATTGTTAAAGAAAGCAAAAGCTGAACAATGCTAAATAAGCATATAACTGAAGTAACAGAAACTCTGCTTATCATTTCTCTTTGCTCCACCAAGTGCTTTTATTCTCCTAAAACCAGTATTTTTTTCTAGCCGAGAAAGTACCCACTTACTAATTATTTTCAGGAGCTTTGATTGGAGGAAATGAGTAACCATGACATTACTGTATACAGAAAACTAGAGTAAGTAAACATCCAATCTTGAGCACTTGGCTGGATGTGTGAAGAGAATTCTCTGTAAAGAGACATGGAAGCAGCACTTGCTGTACCCCAGGCTATTTAAAACCAAACTGGTTGATGCACCAGGAAATGGAGCACAGAAGAGTGATTTTGAACTGGCAGGGTATGGATTCGATGATCTAATAGGTCTTCCCCATCTCTAATTTTCTATGTTTCATCTTGGAGAGCAGACGGGCTGTCACATAAATGTTAAATGGCCAGCTGGAGCTGGAGCAGATCTTGTGTGAAGCCCTGGACTCCTGACTGTGCCTCCATGCTGCTATGCCACTCGCCACATGGGAGCTGCAGAACCATCACGCAGGGGAGATTCCCTGAGAAGTACACTTAGAGGTCCTCAGGGCAAGGATCTAGTCATGTAGTGTGTGAGTTTTGCTGTGGAGACTGGAAAAGCCTTATCTTAACTGACTATGAAACGTGGAGAATTTGGAACCTGCAACATTTCCTGGCAGTTGAGAAGAGCTTTCCTGGTGGACTAAAACTCTCAGTGACTCCAGCCACTCCAAAGAAGAAATAAACTTCTGAGATGAATCACCCTAGTTTTAAACATCTTGTGCCTTCTCCGCAGAAGTTATGTTAAAAATATTTAATAATTGTCATGACAACTGGCCAATAGGAATGCGCTCTATTTTAGGGCTATGACAGGATGCTGGAGAACACCCACCATGGCCACGGTTAACTCTTCGGTTGGTGGATCCTGGATAGATTTAGCTAAGGAGTCCTACATGGCTGGGGTAGTGTAGGGCATTTTGGAGGCAGGAAGACACTGCTAGTTTCCAATCCATGCACAAATATTTCAGTAGTGAAAGAATGGCTCCAGCCAAACGAGTGTGTGTGTACTGTCTGACAGCCCTATTTGTCCTTAAAATTCCATCTTCGATTTTTGTCCATATGGAATTTTTTCACTTGAGACTGTTTGTTGGTATGCAGGAGTATGTCCTGTGAAATCGAGAGGCCCCGAACTTGTCATTGCCAGACCAAGGGATTCTGGTTACATCATCTTTTCTGGATGGTGGGAAAACCCAGGACATCTGAAGCCTTACTGTGGGGAGAATGCAGAAGCCCTGGGCTCCTGCTCTTCTTTGACCCAAAGGATGTCACGTGTTCAATTCAGGCCTCCTTTTCAGTGTGGGTGTAGCATTGAGTCTGCAGTGTAGAAAACCACTGTGAAACAGTTTTATGGATTTACAAAGTTTGGTTTTTCAGGATATTAAAAAGAAAAAACCTGGAAGGAAAAAACAAATCATTCCAATGATTCATTATACTCCAGCTCCCCTTCACAATTCCCTCCTGTTCCTGTGACTGCTGGAAGGCCATGAATGGGTGCTCACATACTATGTGTATTCCTATTTGCACACTCGAGAAAAGAGGCCTTTTTCTCCCTCAAGTTTAGATGCAAAACTGTCTGCATACATCTCTCTGCCTAGATACGAAGTATTTTGGGTGGTGCTGTTTGCGCTACGCCCATGCAGTGTTATCGCAGGAGATCCCAGAAATCGTTGCTAAACCATTACAGAGTACTTGCTATAAATGCAAAGCTCTTGGGTGCCAATTTTAAAAGAACTGTGTACCCTGCAGGATATAAATATGCCTGTTCTCAACAGCACCTGTAGTGGAGGGGGGTTGGTGATGTTTGTTTGTTTCCCATAAGCACCTTAGGAAGTACAGAAACAAATGAAACCTGAATCCCATTTACCAAATAATAGCACTTACATTCTACCACCACTGATTTGCCATCTACTAAGCCCAGGATGCATAGAACCAGATTTCAGTAGCCTCTGCAAAGACTAAAGAGAGGCAGCTTATGAGGTAGATTGTAGGAGCTGAGTTTGTATTAACCAGGAAATATAACCTTTAGGAAAGGACTATTCATTTTAAATAAATGCCATTTAAAATGTCAAAGTAACAATTTGACATTTTTTTCTAATAACCCATAGAACTTGGAAATTTAGTTTGAAATAGTTAAAAGCCCAGTTTTTTTATGTTATCAATTTTTAGAAATATAAATATATTTTATGAATTTGAGGATGCTTCAGACAGTTTGTGGAAAGATTCGTATTATCTTTTAACTCTACTGTTCCGTGAGCTGTTTGAAGTACCCTCATATAATATGGAGGCAGAGAATGATTTCAGTCATATCACAATTGAGGATGCTTCAGACAGTTTGTGGAAAGATTCGTATTATCTTTTAACTCTACTGTTCCATGAGCTGTTTGAAGTACCCTCATATAATATGGAGGCAGAGAATGATTTCAGTCATATCACAAACACAGGTGAATAAAATCATACTTTTAATTGTTGTGTGTTATATTCGAGTCTAGTCAGGAAGAAAGGAACCCAGGCCAGGTGGTTCAATAGAGTGAATTTAATATGAGAAACTGGTTGAAAAGGTAGAAGGGGATACTGAGGCAATATGAAGATGAGCAACAGCGGGAATCCAGTCCCACTGCATGGCTGGAGGGACACAGAGAGGACTCACGGCTGCACGTAAGACACGCACTGAAGCGGGGGAGGGGCACGCCCTGGCTTCTCTCTTCTCTTTTTCCGTCTCCCATTAGTTCATTCTGTCTTGCAAAATCTATCCAGAATACAGTTGGCAAGAGATCCTGGAAAATGTAGTTCACAGGCATCTTAGCTTAGGTTCCCTTGAACCCTAAAAACTGCAAGGCTTAAGTGCTAATGCATTATTGGGAGATTCAATCCAGAGAAGCAAGAGTGAGGGGGAAAGGGATGTGTGACATGGAAGGATGGGGAAAAAGCAAAATGAAGCAAAGCAAGAAAAAACAAGGTGATGCATTATTGAGCAGGACACTGCCTCACTGAGCATAGCCGGTTGCCCAGGCTCACCGTCATCCCTGGAGAGGATATTCAGACTATTTGAGGAAGGAGGGGAGCAGAATGATTGCACCACTCATCCTATTTTCTGCTTCCTGTGGTCAAAGTTTATGCTCACAGGGAGTGACACCACCTGATCCCTTTAGACATCTCCTGAGGAAGCCAGAGTCCATGTCCTGTTTCATGGCCCTTCTTCATATTCCAGAAACAGTGGGAGGAGGGAGGGCCTGTGTGAATCCTCTAAGGTCTGGTCTGGGTTCCTGCTGTGCTGAGTCTAATGGAAGCAGCTCTGGAACCCACCACCTACTCCAAGGGAAGGAGAGACAGCTGCCAGAAGACACAGCAACCATGACAGAGGCTGAGGTGGTGCTCACAGCAGTGTGCAGAATACTGTAAGAGTGGGTAGCCAAGAGCATCTGAGGCAGCACATAACATGTGAGCAAAGTTGTGCAAGCCAACAGCCAGGGATGGAGGGTGTGTTCACATACAGAACCTGCTGCTGTTTTCCCTGTGTGGTGAAGGACACAAAAGGGGTGAGAAGAGGTAGGAAGCTGAAGAAAGGGAAAGTGAAAGGAAGGAGAAGGGAGGGAATGGAGATCAGGTACTAACATTTATGAAGCATGTCCTTGTGTAAGTAAAACAGAGGCTTCACATACAGCATCTCCATCATCCATTGAAACAACCCTTTGAAAGCAGGTATTATTGCCCCATTTTACAGATGAGCAATCTGAGGCCAGAGGGGGTGAGTCACTTGCCCCCAAGCTCTCTCAGCTCGAAGGTGCTAAAGCTGGGCTTGAAGCCAACTGAAGCTTTAACATTCCACAGCCACATGTTGAACTCTCTCTCATTATATGACCTGGCATATGTCCCACAGTCGTAAACTTCAATTTCCGAGCTTTATTTTCTCAATGGTTTATAATAAAATCATAAGTAGTGATCCACTTTTAAAATGCTGAGGGAACAGAATCCAAATTAAGGAAACAATATTTGTGAAGGAAGTTGGGTGAGATTAATAGAGACTGAGAACTTGGGAGAGAAGCAAGGGAAAAGATGCTAAAGACTGCGTTCACTGGCCTCCTGTTCTTTCTTTTCCTCTTTCTCCTCTCCCTTCTCTCATCTGTTTTCTTTTTCCTTTAAGTTAGTCTTCGGATTCTTTTCTCCAAGATAATGGCTTTAAGTTGGGAGGTTGGGGTGGGAGAGTGCAGATGGTCACTATTTCTTCTCTCCTCACCCAGCCAATCAAGACAAAGGTCAGGAGGAATCTGATGAACACTGTGTATATCATAACGATTTCCTCATTTACACATGTCCTATTGT